TGTGTGTGTGTGTGTGTGTGTATACTGTTTCCTGCAGATGTCCAGCAGCTGTTGGTGGATCTCTGGATCAGTCAGGAGGGAGAGCAGCTTCAAGGGCTGGAGGAGGATGATATCACCAAGTTCACATCCACTCCTGTCCCTGTGAATAGTGAAGATGATGAAGACAAACCTCAGTCCTCACAGCTTCATCAAAGACACACTGAACAGATGGAAACAGAAGCAGAGGGAGAGGACTGTGGAGGAGCAGAACCAGCCAGGAACTCAGATCCAGATATACATTTACAACCTGAGGCTGATGACAGTGATGATTGGACGGAGACCAGAGAACTTCAGTCAGGTTTAAACTGTCTGAAAAATGATGAAGTCCCTGTCAGTGATTTGATTGTTTGTGAGAAACCATTTAGCTGTTTTAAGTGTGGGAAAAGATTTGGTTACAATGGAGATCTGAAGAGACACATGAGATCTCATTCAGGAGAGAAACGATTTTGCTGTTCTGAGTGTGGGAAAAAATATGGTCGAAGTCAACATTTGAAGGTACACATGAGAACTCATACAGGAGAGAAACCATTTAGCTGTTCTGTGTGTGGGAAAAAATATGGTCGAAATGAACATCTGAAGGTACACATGAGAACTCATACAGGAGAGAAACCATTTAGCTGTTCTGTGTGTGGGAAAACATGTGGTCAAAGTGAAAATCTGAAGGTACACATGAGAACTCATACAGGAGAGAAACCATTTAGCTGTTCAGAGTGTGGGAAAAGATTAGGTTCCAATGGAGCTCTGAAGACACACATGAGAACTCATACAGGAGAGAAACCATTTAGCTGCTCCGAATGTGGGAAAAGATTTGGTTCCAATGGAGCTCTGAAGGAACACATGAGATCTCATACAGGAGAGAAACCATTTAGCTGCTCCAAGTGTGGGAAAAGATTTGGTTACAGTGGAGTTTTGAAGAAACACATGAGAACTCATACAGGAGAGAAACCATTTAGCTGCTCTGAGTGTGGGGAATCATTTACACAAAATGGATATTTACATGCACACATGAAAATTCATGAGAGAAAAAAGTGATGCAGCTGTTCAGTCTGAGAAAAAAATAATCTATTTGTAATAATATTTTAAAAAGACAAATGACTGACACAGACCCAAACATTTATGTTTTATATGTTTTTAAATGTATGTATTTACTTACTTACTTATTTACCAAGATCAGTCTTGTACAGCCAGGGGGAGTATTTCCCCTCTGACAGCCAAGCTGGGTCAAAACCTGTTATCCGGTGGTGACTGGACTTTTGCTGCTTGTCAGGGCAGGGCATGCAGCACTGTGGTTCTCTCCTGTACTTGGATCCAGAGCAGGAGAGCTACTCTGACTGCTAAATTCTAAAACTGATGTGAACATAGATTAGAAGATAGAAGAATCTGCAGAAAATATCCAATATGAGTAATTGAAAACATTTTTTCAGACATTTTTGTAAATTTATTAAAAAAAAAAGAAAATGTAAACATCGCTGAGCGATCTTCATGACTCAGCCTTCATTTGGAATTGTGTGTTATCAGCTTTACTCTCCCAGTTTGGAGAAGCAGAAAAGAGAACAGGCATGGTTAGGTTGGTTCCAAAAGTCACACAACAACACAAACTAACTGTCCAATCGAAGGGCAGCTGAAGACCAGAGACTCATTGTGTTCTGTGAGGTAAAATTCCTGATTCTGTCAGTGGAGTCTGGTTGCCTTTAGGAGAGCATCATGTAACTGCATCAGTAAAGGGCTGTCTGACAGCATGGTTAGGTCTTGAAAATCTCCATCATGTTCCAACGGAGACCAGGAGGTGACATGCATATGTTATTATTTTTCTTTTTAAAATGCGCATGTGCTTTATAATTTGCAGACATGTTTTATAAAACGCACGTGTTTTATTAAAATGCTCATGCGATTTATTATCATGAGCTCATCTCTACCAGAATCTGTACTCTTTACTGCTGCGAACGTCACATTGTTTGAACAAGATGGCGTGACAACACAAGCGTGACTTACTATGGCCATGTACTATGGAACGCCGAATGGGCCAAAACGTCTAAGTCGACGTCCGTTTTACGACATCACATTTGTAGCTCTTAAGTAGTCAGTAGTGTAAGCATGTGTGGAAACGTGTGGAGCAAACAAAAGAAGAAAACAGCAGCAGCAGCCGTGCCCATGCTCCGATCAGACCAGAGAGAGACTGAAGACAGGCAGGAGGGAGCTTTTGACAGAGACACACACCGGGCCCGGGTGTTGCTCACCGGGCTGATGACCCTCCGCCCTGCGGAGTCCTGCAAGAGAAAGAACAGCAGCTAAGGGCAGGGACAACTAGTGGAGCGGAGGGGTCGTCACAACAGTCACGTTCCATTGTCTCATCATATTGTCTGCCTTTTCGTGTAAACAGATGTAATCTGTCCTCTTGCTGAAGTTCGTGGGAGTGACAGCCAGGCAAACATGTTTTGATGAAATGCACGCATGATTTAATAAAACGCGTGTGTACTACATGAACTACTTTTTTTTTCTGCATATATAAAATCATATGAACAAAACTAAAAATCAACTGGAACAGTTCAATAAAAGTCATTCTTTCGAATAAGTGTATTTTCATCATTTATCCTCCTGACTGTGTTTTTCTGAGTAAGGCCGCAATTCCATGTAACACTTTTGGACTTTTATTTTGAAGCCCATGAGCTCATCTTTACCGGAAGCTGTACTCTTTACTGTTGGCAACATCTCACTGTTTGAACAAGATGGCGTCTGGTAGAAAGGTGTGTTAGCAGAGTCTCTTTGTTGTTGTGAAGTGTGAACATGTCTAAAGTCCAAATGCTGAGATCGTTGGTGAAGCAGAGACTAACTGCAGCTGCTGAAGAAATATTTGGGCTGTTTGAAAGAACGATGGTCCATAATGTTATCTACATTGTGTTGTTTTGTAAGGCAGCGCATACTGTGCCATTACCGGCATTTTATTTACTCAGGCTGCCAGTAATAAAACTTGACGCATGGCAAACTCTCGCATCCTATGGACAATCATTCTCACATTGTTCACTTAAGCCTGAGCAAATAAAGAGCCACACTGTAGCCTCCAGACATGACAAGAGTAACAGTACATGTTAATGACTAGTGCTGCATGATTAATCTAATCGCAATCGCGATGTCAGGCTGTACGATTACATAACCGCACAAAAGGCTGCGATTTGCGATTTAATGTAAATAAATGTTATGGTGTGTGCCTGTGAACGTGACTGCCTCTCCTGTAGTGTGTGTGGACTTTGTTGACATTACGCCCATAATCTATCCTGGTGTGTGCAGCATGTATGGTCAGGTGACCAGCCTGCGTGCAGCAGTGACCAATATAGACGCTAAAGAAGAGCATGAGCATGACCGTGAACAGGCTGAGTTGGTGGCGAAAAAAAACGCCACGTCTATTATATGGCGATACTTTGGATTCAGGTACGGTGACGTTGAACAGAAAGACGCGCTGTGAAAAAGTTTAAAAGTTAAAGTCGCCACGTCCCGTGGCAACACGACCAATCTATATCAGCACTCGAGACAGCACAGGGGAAAGTAGGAAGAATGCATGCGAGAGAAAGCCAAGCCGAGTAACGTGAAAGACAATGAGACAACTGAACGCCTCCAGAGCCTCATACAACAACATCCAAGCACAGTTACGCAAACATTTGTAAGTGTCACGGGGAAATCACAGACTCCATAACAAACTATATAATAACAAATGAAAAACTGAGCAACTTTGCTCAGGTTCGGCCCACTTGACATGCTGCTGTGTTGTGCTATGGCGTGCTGGAATTTGTCATTTACGAGACAACGCCTGAACTCAATACAGTCTCGGTCAGCTGTGTGTACAGTTCCGTGCTGCGCTGCTGTGTGAGCAGCGTGTTTGACTGTGCTCTGTCTGTTGATGGTTATTAACACACTGTCCATAACAAAAACTATGTCAGGTCAGGTCAGGTCAGTGCCCCCCAGATATAATGTAGGGGAAACGCTGAATCAAGCAAGAAGACTAATGATACCATTTTTTTTATTATATTGTAATCGCAATCGCAATATTGTCCACCATAATCGCAATCACACATTTTTATCAAATCGTGCAGCACTATTAATGACTGCTATGAAAGTTACACACACAGCTGAGTGAACACTGTGCAGTTTTTGAGCTGTGTGTGTGTGTGTGTGTGTGTGTGTGTGTGTGTTTCCTGTTTCCTGCAGACGTCCAGCAGCTGTTGGTGGTTAAAGAAGAGGTTCCCCCTGAGCAGCAGGAGTGGAGCTCCAGTGTGGACCAGGAGGACCCAGAGCCTCCACACATTAAAGAGGAACAGGAGGAACTCTGGATCAGTCAGGAGGGAGAGCAGCTTCAAGGGCTGGAGGAGGATGATATCACCAAGTTCACATCCACTCCTGTCCCTGTGAAGAGTGAAGATGATGAAGAGAAACCTCAGTCCTCACAGCTTCATCAAAGACACACTGAACAGATGGAAACAGAAGGAGAAGGAGAGGACTGTGGAGGAGCAGAACCAGCCAGGAACTCAGATCCAGATACACATTTACAACCTGAGACTGATGACAAGACTGGAGAGTCTTCTGAACCAGAGACTGATGACAGTGATGATTGGACGGAGACCAGAGAACCTCAGTCAGGTTCAAAGTCTCTGAAAAATGATCAAGTCTCTGTCAGTGATTTGGTTGTTGGTGAGAAACGATTTAGCTGCTCTGAGTGTGGGAAAAGATTTGGTCGTAGTGGAGTTCTAAAGGAGCACATGAGATCTCATTCAGGAGAGAAACCATTTAGCTACTTTGAATGTGGGAAAACATCCGGTTACATACAAACTCTTAGGGTACACATGAGAACTCATGTAGGAGTTAAAACATTTAGTTGCACTAATTTGGAGAAAAAAATGTAGTAAGACTGGCGGTCTGAAGGTACACATGAGATCTCATACAAGAGAGAAACCATTTAGCTGCTGAGTGTGGGGAAAAGATTTGGTCAAAGTGGAGATCTGAAGAAACACATGAGATCTCATACAGGAGCGAAACCATTTAGTTGCTGTGAGTGTGGAAAGAGATTTGGTCGAAGTCAAGTTCTAGAGTTCTCACATGAGATCTCATACATTTGTTGTGTTTTTCCTTAGCAGCAGTAGTATGAGTCATGGGGTGGATAACTGATCAAGAGCTCCAATCAGAGCTGATCTGATCGATGGATGAGAGGAGCAGCTGCTGCAGAGGCGAGTGAAAACAAGGGAAGTAATAAAGCAACTCAGGACATAAAATAAGCACAGCAGACAGGTGAGACAGTGTGAACCATGGTGTTAAACTATACATCTTTAAATGTTTCAGTCATGGCTGAAAATAACAGAAATAAACAGGTTTGCTGAATTTACATATCACTGCAATTCACAACAGTTTGCAGTTTCTTCCTGTAAGGTTTAGATCAAAGTCACGGTGATTCAGTCTGCGATGACGTCATCAATATCCATGTAAGCATATGATGTCATCCGGAGACTACGTCTACGCTTGGCAAGCAGGGTAAAGGCCGTGGCAAATCCTCTCAATCTAAAATGGCGGAGGAAGCTAGTGAGATGACAGATGAGAATGCCAACCCCCAGCCAATTCTTGAAGCCATCAAATATTTAAAAATTGACTTCTGCAGCAGATTTGATGGAGGATTGACGGCAATTGAAGGAATGAGGAAAGATGTCGGTGAATGCTTGGAACGAGTTCAGGGCGCAGAGACTCGCATCTCCGAGGCAGAGGACACTGTCATTAGCCTAGTAGCAAAGGTCCGTAGCCTCGAAAATAAAAACAAAGAAATGGAGGACAAGATCGAGGCTTTTAAACCTCCCAGAGGGCGCGGAGGGCAATGATGCCTGCTCTTTCCTCGAGGCTTTGATCCCGGAGGCTCTGGGCATAACTTCCCTAAGTATGAAGCTAACCATTGAAAGGGCTCATCGAGTCAGACCGAGAAAAGACCCGGCCGCACCTCCAAGAACTTTAATTACAGAGACAAAGTGATGGTCCTGAAGGAGCTTCGGAACAAAAAGGAGATATTCTACGAGGACAGAGCAATACGGTTTTATCCTGACCTGGCAGCCAGGATGCATAAGAAGCATAAGGCTTTCGACTCCATGAGACAGAAGCTTCGTAACATGGGAATAAGGAAAGGAATACGATGATGTAGGATATTTATTTCAGAAACCCATGTCCTAAGATTCATCAGGATCTATTACTTTTGAGAGCACAATACAACGAAATTTCAGCATCCAAAGCTGCTGCTAACCTATTATAACTGAAACAATGCATTTTTGATCAAGGGGGAAAAATGGGGAAAATTCTAGCTTGGCGTATAAGACAGCATCTTACAGACAACTGAAAGGTCTATCACCATTCTTAAAAATGATAAGGAGGAACTCATCGTAGATCCTGTCGCCATAAATGACAAATTCAGAGACTTTTATGAAAGACTCTACAGCTCTGAAATAAATGTAGGGCTAATGGATCATAGCTTATATTCATTCCTAAACAAACTTAGTTTCCCCCAAATAGAGGAATGTGAAAGGTCATCGCTGGGGGCAAACTTGACATTGGAAGAGATCTCAGCAGCATTAAGATGCATGAATTCTGGAAAAGCAGCAGGTCCAGATGGCCTACCCATCGAAGTTTATATAAAATTTGAATCAAAACTTAGAACACCCCTCCTTGAAATGTTTTCAGAGTCTCTTCAAAAGGTGATACTCCCTCCCTCCTTGAGGGGTGCCCTGATTACTCTACTCCCAAAGCACAGTAAAGCCAACGATAAATCCGAAACCATGAGGCCGATCATCCTTTTGAACTCGGACCTGAAAATACTCTGCAAAATTTTGGCCAAAAGATTGGAGTCTATATTACCAGGTGGCCGCCAGGGTTTCCACAACGTGAGAAGGGTCTTGAACATCTTGCATGACCAGAGGGGAGCGTCAGATACAGCCTTCTTAGCACTAGATGCTGAGAAGGTGTTTGACAGATTGGAATGGACTTATTTATTTGAAATTATTGGACGCTTTGGCCTGGGGGAGGGTTTTTATAACTGGGTTAAACTTTTGTACAATGATCCCTATGCAGAAATGATTACCAACAACAATATTTCAAAACCAATAATGATCAATAGAGACTGTAGACAGGGCTGTCCTCTATCCCCCCTACTATTCATAATTGCAATCGAACCATTCGCAATTGCTGTGAGAGAGCATAACATGATTACAGGTATAAGGACAGGAGAAATTGACCATCGAATAGCTCTTTACGCTGACGATATATTTTTTTTCCTAGAAAATTGGACAGATCTATCCCATCCCTCCTAGACTTAATTAAGTTATTTGGCAAAATCTCAGGCTATAAAATTAATAATTCAAAATCCTCCATAATGCTTCTCAACTCAGAGGAGAGGACTAATCCACCTATCTCTGCTCGCCATTTTAAAATAGTGGATTCTTTTACTTACCTGGGTATCCAAATCACCCCTAAACTAGAAAATATAGTGAATGTTAATTATAGCCCAGTGACTACATCCATTTCTAAAACTGTCGAAAGATGGTCTAGCCTCCACGTCTCTCTCATAGGTAGAATCAACATACTCAAAATTAACATACTCCCCAAACTCCTTTATTTATTTCAAAATTTCCCCCTGCTACCTCCTCCAAACTTTTTCCCCAGAATGAAAAATCTATTCAATAACTTCTTATGGAACAATAAGCTCCCCAGGCTTCGTTTATCTCTTCTATACTTACCCTATGAAGAGGAGGGCTACAGTGCCCTAATATGCTATGGTACTACTGGTCAGTCCAGCTAAGGACGCTTATGTTTTATTTCACCACAGATGGATCCCTACCATGAAGGGATATTGATTCACACTGCCTAAAGCTCCCATTTCCCACTTACCTATACTCAGATGAACCTAAAAAACTCAAAAAGTTCTCCACTAATCCTATAGTCCAAAACATGATAGGAGTCTGGCAAGAAGTCAGGAAATATCTAAAAGATTCCCCCTCCCTTTCCTGTTTCAGCCCAATCTGGAGTAATAACTTTTTCAGTCCAGGAAAAGCAGATGCAGGTTTTAAAATGTGGGCGGATAGAAGCGAAAAACAAATAAAAGACATTTATGGTAAGAATGGGAATATCTTAACATTTGAGGAGCTGATTAGGAAATACAATATCCCTCGCAAACATTTTTTCAAATACCTTCAGCTAAGGAGTTTTATTAGAGCAAATCAAAATAAATACATGTCCTGTCCGTCCCTGACCCTATTGGAGAAAACTCTTCTAAAAAACCCTTTCGGAAAAGGCATCATCTCTGAATTTTATGATTTACTGAAAGCCTCCTCAACTGAGTCTCTGACTCTAAGTTTAATGTATGGAAATTAGATCTACAGGAGGAATTAACACTGGAACAGTGGCGCAGCGCATGTAAAGCAGCCCAGACAGGGATGGGTAATACACGCTTAAAACTCCTACAATATAACTGGCTGATGAGGGTGTATATCACTCCAGAAAAATTTAACAAATTTAATGTGAATATTCCGGCCACTTGCAATAGGTGTGGTGTAAATAAGGGCACTATTTTTCACTGCCTATGGCAGTGCCCAAGAATGGGGGAGTTTCGGGAAGAGGATCGATTAAATGTGCAGGACATCCTCTCAGTCAGATTAGAGCTAGAGCCCAAACTCTTTCTACTTGGCCTCTACCCAGATGTACATAATTTAAAAGGTAAGGAAAAAATCTTTTTAAACATATGTTTTTTCAAGGAAAGAGGACAATAGCTCAAACATGGAAAAGTACGAGTAAGCCAGGTATTGCCATTTGGTTTAGGGAATTATCTTCTTGCTTACCTCTGGAAATTTTTTTTTACATTCTTAAGGACAAACAGGAGACATTTAAAAAAGTGTGGGGTCGATTTATCCAATATACTAAAAACAATGATCTATCTCATCTGTTGAATGAACCTGGAGTAGAATAAGTGCACCCTCTGCGTAACTTTGTTTCCTCATCCTTTACTCACTGGATTGTACGGCAATGATATTTGTATGGACTCATGATCCTATATCTTTACAGAAGCATTCTATTAACCGCCATTTTTTGTTTGTTTTTCCGTTTTTTGTGTGTGTGTGTTTTTTTCTGTCCCATTTTGTTTGCACTGTTATAGTGACCATATATGTGTAAAGGGGAAAACCTAATGTAGGGTTTTAATATTTTTGTTTCATTGAATGTCCCTGTCCTACAAGGACCTGTATGTTAACACACTGTCTCATTTGTGTGATAGGATGTTCAAAAATAACAGGGCACTCAGACAGCGTCAAACAACGTCAAAATACATCCACGTAAAATGTATTTTTTTCACACAGATAGGCTCGGATTGTTAGTGTAATTATCCGACAACATAACGGAAAGGAGAAATGAACGCCTGTGTTTACCTTTAGCTGGATTCGGACATGTTCCTCTGCCTGTTGCAATTTTAGTATGTGTGCTACCCAAGTAACACTGCTCCCTCATTTGACGCAGTCTGAGTGCCCTATTATTTAATATAGCGCGCGCTCCCGGGCTGCAGGCAGGTCAGCCCTAGCTTCGTACTGGAGAAATGTCAAATATTGAACATCCTATCACTCAATTAGACAAAAGTAGATCGGAAAATCGGGCCCAGGTTGCAAAAAACATTAGTTCCCCTTTAAAGGCTGGATGGAACCATTCTGATATTATACTTATGGATTGCCTGTCTAAACTGTCTACGAATATTTAGTGATCTTAATTTTGTGTTATTATGTACATGGTCCGTGTGGATTTTATCAGTCTCTCTTTTTCCACTTTGTAGTATTTTACTGAGTTAACTAATTGATTAGGGTATACGCTGGAAAGTGCCTCGATAAAGTCACTCCAAGGATTTTTTTGCATCTCTCCATCATGTTTCTGTTGCTCATGTACTACTTTTTTTAAATTGCATATGTGAAATCGAATAAATTAAACTAAAAATCAACTGGAACAGTTCAATAAAAGTCATTCTTTCGAATAAGTGTATTTTCATCATTTATCCTCCTGCATGTTTTTCTGAGTGAGCCCGCAATTCCATGTAACACTTCTGGACTTGTATTTTGAAGCCCATGAGTTCATCTCTACCGGAAGCTGTACTCTTCACTGTTGCGAACGTCACACTGAACAAGATGGCGTCTGGTAGAAAGGTGTGTTAGCAGAGTCTCTGTTGTGTTTTTAAAGTGTGAACATGTCTAAAGTCCAAATGCTGAGATCGTTGGTGAAGCAGCGACTAACTGCGGCTGCTGAAGAGATATTTGGGCTGGTTGAAAGAACGATAGCAGAGTACGAGGAGGAACTTTGTCGATCAAAAGAGGAGAACGAGCGACAACGTAAACTACTGGACGCTGTGTCCAACCCTCAGCTTCGGTTACACAGAGCAGGTTTGTTCATTAAACATTACAAGTTCATTATTAATAATATAACTGCAGGTTTGTTCAATAAATATTCAATTTGTCGACGTTTATACGCCGCGTTAGCTTCTCTGATGTCGTTAGCTTCTCTGTTGTCGTTAGCTTCTCTGGTGTCCTTAGCTTCTGTGGTGTCGTTAGCTTTTCATTACCATTCTTAAATGATTATCATTGTTTATTTTCTTAACATATTTTGTATTGTTAATATGAATCAGCGAAGTTACTCCAGCTGTTAAACAAATGCAGTGTGGTATGAATGTACAATATGAACCTCTG